CCGAATACAACGTACGGTCATTATAGCTGTATTTGGGGTATCTTTCAGTCTAAATACAGCTATAACGACCGTACGTTGTATTCGGGGGAAGAAGGTAGGTAAGAAATCAGGAGACAGGAAGGAAGCACAAGGGGGGGACACAAAGAGAGAGAGAGAGAGAGAGAGAGAGGGTTCTCCGATATGCTTTGTCATGATTCTTGGAACATGAATGTGTGTGCAGATGGAAGCTGACCTTTGTCCTTTATCCGGGACAGATGACCTCCGCTCCTCTCAAGAGAAGTGCAGGTCAGGCTCCATAGCAGCAGGCAACAGAGCAGGCGGCGCAGCGGGTGCCTTGCCTATGGGAGCGGCATACGACACAAATAATGCAACAGGGTGGAATGGGTCGTCAGGCACAAGCATCGTGAACATTCGGATCATTAGTTTCCTCGCCGAAATGCTGCGGCTGCAAAATGCTATTGAAGCGCTCGTGGTGATTGCGGAATCAACAGACCTGCTGAGTCGTGCAACGGATGGTCTTTCTGCTGCTACGGAAGCATTTGCTCTCCCACAGCTTGAGGTAAGGCAGAAGTTCCACAGAACATTTGATTGTTTTTTTTTTTTTTTTAAATAGGAGTGATGGGCAACGCCCCCAAGGACCCCTCAACCCCTACATATAAAATAAAAAAAAAAAAACATGTTCCGCCTTGGTCGATTTTGGGCCACGTATGGGCTCGGTACTGAGTGTTCAGATTCGATCACTGAGCCCGAACACGATGCTATGCAGTAGAAATATACCGCCAAACAGAGCTGCCCGGTAAACCGTAGGCAGGGAGGGAGAAGAGGACAACAAACGAGGGGCTGTGACAATCTGTTTCGTCGTAGTTTACCGACTCATCAGGAGGCTGAACCCTCAACAGTCTGCAGAATTCCCTAACTGGTTACACTGTAAGTGATAATCCACCTTAACCCCGGTTCTGGCTAAGCATCAACGACCGCCCGACAACTGATACCCTGAGGTGGGCACCAACCACTGCCCTCAAGGTACCCGTGATGAAAATCAAAGCAGACTATCACTCACCCACACCAGATGGAAAACTCTACAGACTGTCGGTAGTCGGTGAAACTCCAACAAAACAGTTTGTCACAGCCCCTCGTTTCTTGTCCTCTTCTCCCTCTCTGCCTACGGTTTACCGGGCAGCTCTGTTTGACTATATATAAGGCATGTACATTGTTTTCCAATAAATATTATATGTAATCCATAATCCGATATCATTATATTTGTATTTATCTGGGTTTTATCTCCATTATCCCCGATAGTCCGAATCGTAATTAGTACAAGTAAGAGCACCGTGACGGGTAAGCTTCACCCCTCACGGTGCTCTTACTTCTCGCCTATATATATATACATATATCGTCAAATAGAACTGCCCGGTAAACCGTAGGCAGACAGGGAGAAGAGGACAACAAACGAGGGGCTGTGACAAAATGTTTCGTCGGAGTTTCACCGACTCATCAGGAGG